CAGAATTGATGTTCACTTTGAGACTCGAACTTAATACCGTTCACTTCAAACGCGAGGCAGTCCGCACAAGTTGTATATATACCAGTATGAGACTGATCAATTGCAGACTTGAATAACAATGGGATGATACAAGTAAAACAACACCACATGAATTTCTAATTATAATTACTTATGGTAGTATATTAAATTTTTAATTTAATTAAAAAAATTTATTTTGATTAATGCCTTTTATAATTAAAATTTTGTTTTTCCATGAATTTTGGTTAAGTTTTTTTCTCTTCTTTGTAATAAAACAAGATCATTTTATCGTTGAATATGTCTTGATTAAGTAAAGTATTTGAATGATAACAGGATATCGTGACATAGTGTTGTTATAGTTCATTGAATGAACTGGGTTTTTTTAAAGACTAACAATAAAGATCTATATCATGTCTAGTTTAATAAAAAAACATCTAGTTTAGTTTATTCATATCCCTTTCTCATATAGGATAAACTAATGTTAGTTACTTACGTATTTACTCACTCACTCACTTACTCACCTACTTACTTACTTCCTTACTAACTAACTCACTTACTCACTTACTTACTTACTTACTTACTCGCCTACTTACCTACATACTTACTTATTTACGCCTATGACCCCCAATGGAACATAGGCCGCCGACCAGCACTTTCCACCCAATCCTCTCCTGGCAAATAAACTAATAATAGTAATATGTAATTATGTAGCTGAAATACTAAAAAAGAATTTGTAGCTGAGGTTAATAATTTTATTTGTGATGTACTAAGTAGATTTAATTACAAAGCTTTGGTCATCATTCGTAATAATGTATTAAAAGTTAATTCATACAGAACTGAGCTATTTAAATGATTCAACAACCATTTGGATATTTCATTGGCTTGATTTGTTTATGTATTCTTATTTATTGTCTTGTTTGGTTGATGTTTGATCTTAAAAAGTCATTAGAATAAGATAGTCCACGTAAAGTAATTGTTGATAGTGTTATATAGAATGAAAATGAAATTGTTCCAATTAAACTACTCAGTTTAAAGGAACACAATATAATGACATTTTGACTTTTTTTTTAACTATGTTACTCCATTAAGTGGAAAATACCAATGTAATTTACAGATTTAGCATGACTTCGTTATTTATAATAGTGGGGTTTGGTCGACTAAAAGTATCAACAACATAGATCTTATGAAGGGTGATTTAAGTTCAAGGTTTTTTTCAAATTCTTAAAATCATTGACTCTCGGTCTTGTGTCAGGTTTTACAGTTCCATGGTTAAATTTCCTTGAATTTTCTTGGATCGACTGTTATTTTAGGGAAAATAAATACCATTCTCAGCAGTTTGCATCAACGACCCGCATGCGGAATTCGAACCCAGGGCGTCCAGTCTTGCGCGAGAACGCTTAAACTCTAGACCACTGAGCTGGCCGGCATCCAAGGGTATTAATGTCTAACCTCAACCAATCCACGAAATTGCGTGACCATCTTCCATTGTAGATACCTGTCTCTACGCAACACGGATTAGCTTTACTCGTCAGGGCTTTTCACTCGAACTCCGTGAATTCCCTCAAGAAGTTACTCACTAGTGTGCCCGTGGTAATTATCAGCATACGGTTGAAGAGATTATTAAGTTTTTAATTGAGATCATGAACTGATTGATGTTAGACCACCAATGAAAACCTGCATGCCCTGAACGATCGTTTCTTCCTACTGTGGGACTCCTCAGCGGTGCGCATCCACGATTTTGCTTGTGGGATTAGAATCACGCATCAATCAGTTCATGATCTCCAAAACCCTATACTGATAAATGCCATTCTACGAAATTTTTTTACAATTTCAGTTTAATTTCAACTACATTTTTATAATAGAATGTTTTAAACATTGGATTTCATCTAATCATATTTATTCATTGCCTTAATGAAAATAGAATGAATAATTTTAATTAAATTATAGAAATTAATTTTCATTTCATTAGTAACTTCTTTCAATCATGAAGTCTAAACTAAAACGGTTTGCATAATTAAGTAGATGTATACGTGTTAAGTACTTATATATAATCACTTAGTTTATGCTTCATATCTTTACGTTACTACGGTGATTAATATTCCAGACTTTAACTTTATATATATATATACTGGTGTAAGCTACTTAGTCAGGAATAAAATGTACTTCATTAGAAGATCGAGAACAAAAGAAGAGCAACGGAAAGCAATTTGTATGAAAATACAGTAACAATGAAAACTGAGATGACTAACTGATATTTGTAAAAGAAACAGTCAAGTTTGAGACAATTGATTGATATTTTACAAATTAACTATATACTATATGAATAGTTTGACAGAAATCAGGCACCGAGTACAGAGAAGTCATTATATGTGAAAATTATATTTGAAATAATCTCAGCGATTGAAATCTAAATAATAATGTTAAAAGCTATATATTTCTTTGATGATTTTGATTTCGATTATTACCTTGAAGAAGTCCAGACAATTTAGCTGGACGAAACGTTGGAATTATTTAAATTTCATTCGCTGAGATTATTTCAAATATAATTTTCACATATATACTGTATGGTTTTCAGATTTTGTTAACATGTTCTGTAATTTTGAGTTGTAATACTGTCGATTATTCCCACTCGTGTTCTTGTTCTTTACAATTTTGTTGATTGTAACGTCTTACCCAATCTTTTATAAGTGTGTTTATGTTGAAATGGCGTTTTTTATGCTTTTTTTGTTCCGTTGTACTATTTAAACTTGGATTAATTTTAATTTGGTTATTTATTCTCTGAAGAAGTGATTTACACTAAGCCACGAAACGTCAGAAAATCTAATTTTCTACTCATTGGGATATTACAAATATATTAGTTATTTTTTATGCTTTGTTAATTTGTGCCCACAGGAGCCATTAACTTTCTACAAACCGAAATATATCATATATTGACTACTTAATTAACCCAGATTTATATTTAAGGTTGTTTATAGAATCTGTCTAGATCTATCAAAGCATCTATTCGTTAGCTTTACAAAATGAGGAATAATACATTTGATTTGTCTATGAGATTAAATCTGAACCAAATATGTTCTATCTCTGCACTTAACTTTTGTGCAGACTATTATTATTATTATTAACGTATTTGACATGTTTAAGTTAACAAAAAAGAAATTTCTCCTATCAAACCGCTTTCTATACTAGTTTGATTTACAATTCATACTTAACTCCTGTATCAATATATGTAACACGTGTAATATTTTTACATTATTTTATTAATGAAATAAAAACATATTTCATTTATTTTTATTACATTCCAATAAATAACAGTTCAGTGGTCAAGAGGTTAAGCGTTCATGCGCAAGACTGACGGTCTTAGGTTCGATTCCCGCTTGTGGGATCCTAGATGTACTCTGCTGAGGGATCTTATAGTGGGACGAAATTGCCGTTCAGTACTGTTAGGCTTTCACTGTTGGTCTAACTTGACCTGAATGGAAACGGAAAAGAGGAAGACCAACGAATATATTGTGCCGGGAATCTGAAGTAAACATGAAAAGATTGAATATCAACTGGAAACAAGTGTAAAGGTTTGCTCGGGACAGAATTGGATGGAGAGTGTTAGTGGAGGACCTATTCTCATCCATGAGGGGTAACAGGCGTAAGTCAGTAATTAAGTAAGTAATTTGGAATTAAATATTTTTAGAAAATTAGTAAATTTGAAAATCGTGTTCAACACGGAATTATCTTAAATAGCTGGTCATTGAGAGTGTGGAACACTGGATAACAGTTTCTTTCTATAAGGCTATAAGACTACTCAATAATAATGATCGTTCAAACTCCCCTCCTATAGAGAAAACCGGTTACAAGTTTGTTAACTTTATACCACTAAGTTGAGATATATCGCTTCACATTTAAAACTTCCTTATATTTTTCGATATTGTTTGATTAGTATAGATTTTCATGGGTTATAATTCCGATTACTCCAAACATAGTTTAACACCATCAACTACTACTTGTTCACAGAACATTTGAAATTGCTATAGAGTTGGTTATCAATCAAGTACTTAATTATGATTAGAATACGCAGTTCGTGGGGTAACAGGAGTTAGTTAGTTTTAAGTAAGTAAGTAACCAATAATGGTGATATCTAGTATAATAATAATTCATTTCGTTGATTTCAAATGTTAGATAATTACCACTTCATCTCTTTATGACTTCAAAATTTATTTTCAATTAATCTGAAACTTCCATAAACTTCTCAAATCTCCTATAATTATTACACAATCCATTTTATCGATTTCCGGACTAAACATAATTATTACTTCACCATTCTATGTTTGTTTGTTTTTGTTTTACTTCCATCGTCAAATGACCTCAAACTTGCTTATTCATATATATATATATATATATATATATATATATATATATATATATATATATTCAAACAGTTGTAAACAACTGATGAAAAACCATGAAATAAAATGACAAAATCGCATTTTTCTGCCTTAATTTCTATTTTGACCTTATAGAAAACATTATTAAATTAATTTATACGATTAGCCTAAGCATAAATTTTACTTACTTGACATTTAATTATTAGCATCAGAAGGGGTTTTGTGGAGACTAGTAATTTCAATAGATGAGATTATGAATCGATTGATGCTAGACCACTACCATGGAAAACCTGGAAGCAATGGATGGACTTTTCGTCTCATCGTTGGACTTCTTAGCAGTGTACACCCACGATCCCACCTCGCGAAATTTCAACCCAGGACCTATCAGTCTCGCGTGCAATCACTTTATCACTAGACCACTAAGCTGGCTGGCATCCAACAGTAATAATGTCTAACTTTAACTAATCCACGAAAAAAATGATGAAAAATCATGAAATACAAAAACGAAATCACATTATTCTATCTTCATTTCTATTTTGACCTTATACAAAACAACATTATAAAATTAATTTATACAATTCACTTAAACATAAATTTTATACTTACTTGACATTTAATTATTAATTTATCATGTTGATAACCAAGTTTTCTTCTTTCTTCATTATTTGGTAAACTTTCTAAAAATCCAGCTAATGAAAATGCTGCACTTGCTGCATTATATTCATCAATTTTTTGTTTATTATAAAAAATATATTGAGCATATGTAGCTAAATCTAATACAAAATGTCTTGGTGTTTTCCAACCTTTCATTTGTAAATATTTTAATCCATCTGGTGAAATTGGACGAAAATTACATACAGTAACTGATGGAAATGGACTAACTGTATGACGTAATACACGTGGTGGATGTATAACATTATATTCTAAATATTGTCTAGCTAAAAAAAACATACAAATAAAACAACCTAATATTAAAATAAATACTAAAATTAACCATAATAAACGTAAATAACGATTATGTGCACGAACTATACGTGGTAGACCACGTATTGTTGTATTTTCACAAAAACGTTTTAATTCATCTAATATTATCACTGAAATATGATCATGTTTTAATGATGATGACGATGTTGGTGATGTTGGTGATGATGGCGATGGCAATGGTGACGGTGATGGTGATGGCGATCTTTCTGAATTCTGTTTATTAACTTTAATTAAATCAGTTACATTATTAATCGTTTTATTTTTATTTAAATTAACATGACAATGATTAAGATTATCCAATGGTAATGATTCATTTATCTGTTCATAGCATTTCCTAATCTCTTGTATAAAAATATAACATAATGGACATATAGAATGTAAATTATTTTTATTAAAATTTTCTATATTTCTATTTTCATTATTATCAGTAGTATCGGACATATTTTTCTTTCCTTTTAATTATTGTAAAAATGTGATAAAATCAACATTTAGATAAATCGACGATTTATTCATTTTATATCGAGAAATACTTTATTTTGATTGGATTACAGAGATGAATTTTGATTGGCTATACATTGGAGTTATTTGTTGTTATTGTTGTTGTTGTTCTTCTATAATTTGACTAATTATTACTCATGGATATAATTCTACATTTTGAAAGTATTCAAGAAAAAGATTTGGATTTGGATTTCAGGTTAGTAACTTGTAGCAATAGTGTATATTTTATTGTTAATAATAGCAAAATTAAATGATTGTTCTGGTTTGTCAAAACAACATAATATCAAGTAAATTGCATTGAGATGTTAACTCACTTAGATTAATAATTACCATGAATCGATTGATGTTAGACCAGCACTGAAAACCTGGAAGAACTGGACGACCGTTCCGTCCTATTGTGGGACTCCTCAGCAGGGCGCACCCACGATCTCTCTCGCGGGATTCGGACCCGGGTCCTTAACCTACTGGACCACTGAGCCGGCATCCAATTGTGTTAATGTCTAACCTCAACCAATCCATGGTGGTCTAACATCAATTGGTTCATGATCAAAAACTTAACAATCTTCACATTCCCTAAACTGATAGTTACAAAGTTGTTGAATCCCATTTAAGATTATCAACACCTGGTATACTAATAGCTTATAGGAAATTTGTCTTTTATCAATAATGAAAAACAAAATACGACATACAAATCTATAGCTGGGACTAATAACAGCTTTGTAGTGTCGATTATTACATTAAGGACATATACCTTATTCTACCTTTCGGACAGGTCAATCTATTCATTCTACATGAGTCACATTTTGACCATGTTCATTGTTCGCTTATCTCAATCTTGACTGTTTTTACACGAGCGCATATGTGTGTGTACATTTCTTATCCTATTCATCACATGTCTGTAGCATATTCTTGTGTGACCATAAATATTGAATGACGCTTGGTTAAAGGGAGTTGGCTTACATGCTTTCTCCACTGCGCGTCGTTTCGTTATTTCTTCGTCGCTTCCCTCACTGCGTCTTCCAGATTATTTGTTCTGGTCAACGATTGTAGAGAATGTATGTATTTGGAAATCCATTGTCGTATTTGATTTATTTAATTCCGTTATTCACTAACGCGATCTAAGTCGATAATTATATACGAGCATTGATGTTATGTATATCTTAATAGCAATCAGATACGATCTCAGTAGAGTCAGATCCCGAGACACTAAAGTTTGATTATACGGAGTTCGGATTATCCCTAAAGATCGGTTGTACAAATATCTTAAAACCATAATTTATAAAGATTGTAAATAATTTAATTAACTTATAAAAGGAGCGAGATTTGAAAACTAAGAAGTATTAAAAAGCTAATTTGTGATAAGTGCCATACTTATAAAGCACTAAGTTAATATCAAATTGTTTAAATCAACAAAATCACTTACTATGAGATACCTTCCTAATTCTATATTGAAAAGTAGTCTATCACTAAGTTTAAATATTTATTTTTGTAATTTCAATAGTTGAAATCATGAGTCAATTGAAACTAGACGACAACAATGGAAAACCTGGAAGCACTGGATAACCGTTTCGTCCTAGTATGGGACTTATAAATCTTTAGGGGTCTGATATTTACCTTATAAGAAAAGAACAAAATAGTTACATCATATGAAGTTTATTTCATTGCATTTAAATAACCACTAAGTAATGACAAAACGAAATTGATAATAAACATATATTTTTGTTATATCACAATGAGTAGGAAAAAGAACTATATTGCTGACGTTTCGTGACTTAATATAAGCTAATTCTTCAGAGAAATTTATTGACCGAAATTCAATTAATACAAGTTTAAATAATAAAAAAGAAAACACTATCCAGTTCAGAGAATTAAACTCTTTCAAAATCATCTACCTGAGCTACAAATCTTCTCCACCATCTCCAAAAACAAATGCAGAATATTTTTTTTAGTACGATCAAGATATTCTACATTGTTTCCTTTGTACTATTTAAACTTGTGTTAATTGAATTTTAGTTATTAATTTTCCTTGAAGTATTGGCTTACAATAAGTCACGAAAAGTCAGAAATATAATTTTATTACTACTTATTGAAATATAAGAAAAATATATGTTTATTATTATCAGAAGAGGTTTTGTGGAGATTTTAGTAATATTATCGTTTAACCAAGTTTGTTATGAGATAGTGACTCACTGAAGACAGTGGTGGATGGTGGCTCAATTTCGTAGATTGGTTGGAGTTGGACATTAACACCGTTGGATGCCAGCCAACTCAGTGGTTTAAAGGTTAAGCGTTCGTGTGCGAGACTGATAGATCCTGGGCTTGGAATCTTGCGAGGTGGGATCGTGGATTTTCACTGGTGAAGAGTCCCACAATAGGACGAAACGACCGTCCAGTACTTCCAGGTTTTCCATGGTAGTGGTCTAGCTTCAATTAACTCATGGATCCAACTATAAAAAGTATATGTATTATTAACTCTCTACACAATGTTCAATTTATTTAAAACAAACAAGTCCAACATACTCACATACCTCTGTTAAATGCTTTCATATAGTCAAGGATGCTAATGTATGGTGACGAGTTTCATTCAATTGATTGTTCAACGATATTCTGTGGTGTCGCGATTTAGTCTGTACAAGACCGATAATCACGGAATATGGCCCATTGATCTCGAAGTTAGGTGTCTACACAATTTGTTATTTCGTTCAACAATACTCTGTTAAAAAAGGTTTCCTGATGCCAATAGTAGTGTGATATCTCTCATGATTGCACACTTTCTCAGATCTGCTTTCTTTGGTATTTTGATGAGGTATCCTTCTTTCTAGTCTGTCGGTATTTGTTCCTCCATCCAAATCTTCCTGAATAGAATGTCGGGCATGTTTGCTGTTACTTCTGTATCGGACTTTAATGTTTCGGCTGATATATGGTCAGGTCCTATTGCTTTCCCTCTTTTGGTTTGTCTGATAGCCATTCTGATTTCTTTCGTAGTTGGAGTGAAATATATAGAAAGGTCTGTAGGTGCTGCTTCAATATCCAGTACATTCGATGGATCCGGTCTATTTAAGAGTTCCTCAAAGTATCCCATCCTTCCGCTCATCCGTTCTTGAATTTCACTGATTGGTTTGTCTTTTGTCCTTGATTGGTCTCTCTGTTTTACTATATTTCCCTGTTAGTTTCTTCGTCGTTTCATATAGTTGTCTGATTGTTTGTTCTCTTGCAGCTTTGTTTACTGTCGATGCTAGGTCTTCCACGTATTTCTGCTTGTCAGATTTCATACTCTTATTCAATTGTTTGTTGCTTCAGAGTATTTAGCTTGTGTTTTAAATTTCTCTGCTCTTTTTCAGCTGTTATTAATTTCTGTCTTCTTCTTCTTCCTTCCTTGGATCTTGTGCAGGGATTCGATAAAAATCCAGCCCCAGCCCATGCTGGATTCCGTTAGTATCGGTCGTGCACAGACCAAATCGCAACACTATGGGTCATCATTAAACAACCAATCGAATGGAACTCGTCACTATGCATCAAATTTCTTGATTATAAGAAAACATTTAACAGTGTGGATAGGAGAACATTATGGAAACTTGTTACACACTATGGAGTACCTGAGGAGATCGTCAACGTCATCTGAAATTCATACAACGGACTACAGTGCAAAGTGGTGCGTGGGGAACTGCTGACAAACGCATTCCATGTAAGGACCAGAGTCAGATAAGACTGCCTAATCTTCCCGTTCCTCATTCTTCTATCGGTTGATTGGATTATGAAATCCTTGACGTGTGAGGGGAAGCACGTAATATGATGAAGAAGTTGGATGCAAGTAGACGAGTTGGACGTTGCAGATGATCTGGCCCTTCTATACCATTCACACCAACAAATTCAGGTCAAGACAAACAGTGTAGAAGCAGTCTCTGCAACAGTATACCTCAACATACACAAAGGAAAGTGCAAAAGACCTCAAATACAACATGGGAAACATCAACCCAATCACACTTGGTGGAAAAACTTTGGAAGAGGCAGAAATCTTCACGTAGCTGGTCAACAGGATCGTCGATGGACGATACAGATGTAAAGCCAAGGAATGGCAAAGTAAGGAAATTATTCCTACAGTTAAAGAATATACACAACTCAAAACAAATGTCTACAAGCCAACATCAAAGCCAGAATATTTAGTACGAACGTCAAAACAATTCTGTTGTACGGAGCTGAAACGTGGAGAACTACCACAGCCATCATCAAAAATGTACATGTATTTCTAAACAACTATGTACGCGAGATAGACATTATCCGTTGACCGATACCATCATAAACAGCTTACTGTGAGAGAGAGCAAACCAGCTTCCAGTCGAGGAGGAAATCAGAAAAAGACGGTGAAAGTGGATAGGACATACATTTAGTAAATACTTCATAACAAGGCAAGCGCTAACTTTGATTCCTGAATGGAAACGAAAAAGAGAGAGACCAAAGAACACACTATGAAGGAAATCGGAAGTAGACATGAAAAGAATGAATAACAACCGGAAACATGTGGAAAGGGTTGCCCAGCACAGGGTTGGATGGAGAATGTTGGTGAGCAGCTTATGCTCCTCCACATTGCTTAAGTATGTATATAAGCAAGTAGTAATATAGTAACCAGTGATTTCATATTATTTATTTCAACCCAGATCCAGTATGAGATGTTTGATTGCCATAGCTTTGACAAATCTAATAAAACTAATGTTTGATTGTTGATTAACTAACTTAAATTATTTCGATTCATCAGAATGATATCCTGTCTCAAAAAGATTTCTTGAACTCGTATTTGTGAAATCTTTCAATTCATTTATTCTATGATCAATCAGTCATAAGTTTTCTAGAATTGAGCATAGATCTTTCAATTTTTTCGATCAACGTAACTGTATTTAAAGATGTTTATACATTTATATACACAATTGCTAAGAACATAAAAGACA